TTTTTTTTTTTTTAAAAAAAAAAAAAAAAAAAAAAAAAAAAAAAACACATCTGTAAGTTTCCTGTACTTTGTACTTTGTTTACAGGGAAAAACGCAGTATAGCTAACTTTAACAGAGCATTGAAAATGACACTTATTAGAATGCCTTTTGTTGTATTTTGAGATTCTGGAGCAAAAGGCATTCTATTTTAAGCACAGAATACTTATGGTCACTGGGTTCATGGCTTGCTTTCCTGACTGACAAGTAAAGCTGCTGTTCTGCTGAAGCAGACAACAGAAAGTAAAAGCATATCCTGAACACTGAGGAAGTTCTGGAAACCTGAACACATCCAACTTTGATTTCTACCTTCTCTTGTTCTATGTTTTGTTACTGAACACTTTTCAAAGTACATTAAAATAAACAAGCTAACCAAAAAACACATGCAAAGTCCCTTTTTGGGTTCAATAATAAATAAATCTACTCAGTCCCTATCTTTTTTATGATAAATAAATAATAATAATTTTTTTAAAAATGGATATGCAGTGGTGTTTCACTTACAACTCTTCAAAAAACTGTTTTTCTCCTTTTCCTCTTGGCTTTGAAAAGAGCTTGAGCGATCTCTCTAAATACCAATACCCTTATGCTCCTTGACAACAGTAATGCTCAAGGAATTCAAAGCAGCAGTTTCACCTTTTTTCAAGACCAGTGATTCCAATGTCCTGGGGATCTGGCAGGCATTGAATATAAGTGTTGTGTATGCTTTTGCCCTTCTCTGCTTGGCTGCCATTGAATCTTTACTTTGTTATTGCATTATCCCTCCATTTGCTTGTGGTTCCTTTCTTTTCTGCTCCAGCCCTAATCCCCAATCACTGTCACTGTATTTTGGACATAAGGTACACTCATCTGTTTCCTTCACTGCAGGGCAGCTAAGGTAGGTAACCTTTAGATGTCCTTTCTAACTGAAATGATTCTAAGATCATTTTGTGTATGTCAAGCACTCCTGACATTTGCCGTAGAAAAACGTGCTCAAAAACTTACTGGCTTCATCAAAGAAAGGGAACTGGCTTACACTGAGTAACAGGAAACTGCTCCGTATCAGAAGACTGTTGTGACCGGCCAAAAGGCCACAGCCTCTGGCCCCCAATGGATTAATTTGCACTTGGATCGGGGCAATACCAGATACATGTACTCACTGGGAGATGTCCTTAAGAGCAGCCCTGAGGAGAACCTGAGGGTCCTGATGGACAAGAAGCTGGACATGAGCCAGCAGCATGTGCTTGCAGCCCAGAAGGCCAACTGTGTTCTGGGCTAAATCAGCAGAGGAATAGCAGCAGGGAGAAGGAGGTGATTGACCCCCTCTGCTCTGCTCTTGTGAGGCCCCATCTGAAGTACTGCGTCCAGGCCTGGAGCCCCCAGCACAAGGAGGACACAGAGCGGTTGGAGCGAGTCCAGAGCAGGGCCATGAGAATGCTCAGAGGGCTGGAGCACCTCTCCTATGAAGATAGGCTGAGAGAGCTGGACTCATTCAGCCTGGAGAAGGCTGCAGAGAGACCTCATTGTGGCCTTTTCAGCACTTAAAGGCAGCTTGTAAACAGGAGGGAGACCAGCTTTTAATACGGTCTGCTAGTGACAGAACCAGCAGGAACAGTTTTAAACTGAAATAAGGGAGATTCAGGTTAGATGTTAGGCGGAAGATCTGTCACAAGGGGTGGTGAGGCACTGGCACAGGAGCTGCCCAGAGAAGCTGTGGGTGCTCCATCCCCCTAGGCGCTCAAGGCCAGGTTGGCTGTGGAGCCTGACCTAGGCCAAGGAGGCCAAAGATGTCCTGGGCACGCAGTGTTTGGATACCCCACAGCCACAGGGCCGACACTCCGCAGGCCGGTGAGACCGCTCAGCCCACGGCGCCGTGCCCGCAGGCTCGGGAAATGGCGCAGGGCGGGCAGCACCGCGATCCCGTCTGAGGAGACGGCCGCGCTCCGAGGTGAGAGAAACAACCCAGCGGAGGACGAAAGAACTCAGACAAATCGACGAGGCCCGGCGGGGGCGGCGGTTTCTCCGAGGAGAGGCGGCCGCGGGGCGTCGGCCTCTTCCGCCGCTGCCTCAGCCCCGCCCCGAGCGGCGGTGGCGGCCGCTTGAGCCCGGTGCCTCGCGGCCCGTCTGGAATGGCCGCCCCGTGGGTTCTGCCCGCGCCTCTCAGCCCGGCGCAGCTCAAGCGCCTGGAGCAGCATCGCTACAGCGCGGCCGGACGCTCGCTGCTGGAGCCCTGGCTGCAGCCTTACTGGGGCTGGCTGGTGGAGCGGCTCCCGCCGTGGTTGGCCCCCAACGCCATCACCCTCGGCGGCCTCTTGCTGAACTGCCTCACGGCGCTGCCGCTCATCGCCTCCTGCCCCACCGCCACCGAGCAGGTACCGCCCTGCGGGACGCGGCTTCCCCCGGTCCCCGCCGGCACGGAGAGTCCGGAGAGCCGGGCCTGTGTCCGCGGAGGGTGCGGTGGGTTTGCCCTGAAATTGGGGCGGTGTGCGGGTTGCACCTAGAAGTTTCCCAGGACGGAATTTTCGTGGTAGTTGGAGTGGGGAATATCAGGGGAAAGTCCCTCTGTGTGGAGGGCTTTGTGTCCTAAAGGTTGGCTGTACTGTTGTTCCGATGGGCCTAAATCTTAATGGCAGAGATGGGGGCTGGCAGTTGGATTTATATATATATAACTTGGATATACTTCCATGAGCATTCTTGTTGACAGAAGCATCCTTATTTGTCCCTAATTGATTTGCCATTCATGCCAGCAGTGGTGCTTGCAGCAGTCAGATCAAGAAACTGATCCAGGTCAGAACTAATTCATCTTGGCCTAACCCTTTTGGCTTCATTGGTACACAGCTGCAGGCGGTGAGGAGAAAGGAGAGAGAGGAGAGTAAAGGGCTGGAAACTGCAGGTTGTCGTCTTCTAGGCCTAGGGTCCCCAGCAGAAGAAAGATATGGGACTGCTCAAGTGAGTCCAGAAGAGAGCCATGAGGATGATCAGAGGACTGGAGCACCTCTCCTATGAAGACAGGCTGAGGAAGTTGGGATTGTTCAGCCTGGAGAAGAGACAGTTGCAGGGAGACCTCACAGTGGCTTTCCAGTACTTGAAGGGAGCTTATCAGCAGGAGGGGAACCAACTTTTCACATGGTTTAATAGGCATAGGACAAGGGGAAATGGCTTTAAACTAAAAGAAGGCAGATTTTAGGTTAGATGTCAGGGGAAATTTTTCACTCTGAGGGTGGTGAAGCACTGCCATAGATGCCCAGAGAAGCTGAGGTGCTCCATCCTTGGAGGCGCTCAAGGCCAGGTTGGATGGGACCCTGGGCAGCATGAGCTGCTGGGAGGCAGCCCTGCCGATGGCAAGGCATTGGAATTGGTGGGCTTTAAGGTCATTTCCAACCCAAGCCAGTGATTCTATGATTCTAATGGCTGTAGAGCTGCTACCTTCAGCTTACTGTTGTGATGTAGGTATCAGTTCTGTGCCAGCTGCGTGTCATGGTATTCATTCTAGCTTTTCTTTCTTTGCCATGCACATATTTTATCATAAAGCAAGTAAATTTTAAGTTATTTTTTGCTTTGAGGACTCATACAAAAATGTTATGTTGCAGACATTCAGGGAATTATTTCTTCCAGGAAAGCTCAGGTTGAGTTTTAGAAACATTTATGATTGCCACACAGCTTGATTTCTATGAGAACATACAGTCTGGACCAAACTTTCCCATTTAGACATCAGTATATCAATTGTAAGCGTGTAGCATAAAAGCATACTCCTCCTATTGCATTGTTCTTTGAGCAGAGACAAAACTTATGTTGCCTCTGCTCTGTGAGTATGCCCTGGCTTTTGCTTCCCTCACCATCATTATCTTTCTTATGCTTTTCTTCAGCCTTTCTCAACTGAAGATGGTGACTGAATGGCTTTCTAAAAAAAAGCTAAACCTGCTGCAGCACTACCAAGCGTTATACGTACTACTGTAACATCTGCTTTGTGCTTTTAGTGTGCAGGCTAGAAGGACTGGGGGAAGGTGGAACTGAAAGTTGTATTAAAGATGGGCGTAGCACAAGCAGAACTAGTAGTATGGTGCATGTAAACGTTGCCTCACTGTGCTTGTGAGCCTCTTCCTCCATCCATGAAGAAACCATCCTTAATAGTCCTGTTGAGAACACTGAAGCACACAGCACACAATTAGGTGTTAAGTGGCAAAACCGAGCCCATGGATGGCAGCTCTCTCATACTTGGTCAGACCCAGGTCCATCTGGCTCAGAGCTCCCTGAGAGCCTCTGGTGGCAGATGCTGAGAGTAGAGTGCTTTGCCCTGGTGTGTGCATCCCAGAGACTGGAGCAGGGAGTTGTTAGTAGGGATTCTACTGAGATACCTTTAGAACAACTGGTGGATCAACTTACCCTCGATTTTGCCTTTTAAATTCTTCGTTTGAATGCTTTCAGATTCTATTATGTCTTGTTGCAGTGAATTCCACCGTTTAATAATGCTTTCCTTGCCCCACACAATGCAATTGACGTCTGAAACCATACAACGCTTCCTTGTCCTCTTACTGTGTAGTAGCTATTTCCTTATACACTGTATTTGGCATCTTCATCAGCACCAATAGCTACTAAATGCCAATTTGCTGCTGACCAGAACAGCATGTTTTAGCTTTATAAATGCTGCCTGCTTGAGCAATGCCTTCCTGTGTAGAAGGAACATGACATGTATCGCTGTCTTCTATAAATGCACCCTTCAGCATAAGCCTCTTTATCTCTGAGTCACAGCAGACCACACCCCACAAGCACTGCAGTAGCTAAAATCGACATTTGTGGATTTTCACAGTGTCTGTCCTATTTCCTTCTGTTTGAAAACAGGACAGCCACCTACAAAAATAAATCACATTACACTGGCTGGGGCAGAGGGACACTGCCTGCACATTTCATGCCCTGTACAGAGTTGATGTATCTTCTTTACTATAATTGAAGACTCTTTTCTTTCTTACTTTCTCTTAGAATCATAAAGTTATTTGAGTTGGAAGGGACCTTTAAAGGTCATGTTGTCCAACGCCCCTGCAATGAACAGGGATACCCACAACTAGATCGGGTGCTGTGAGCCCCTCCAGCCTGACCTTGAGTGTCTCCAGGGATGGGGCATCTGCCGCCTCTCTTTTTCCTCATGTCCAGTCTAAATCTCCCCTCTTTTAGTTGGCAATAATTTCCCCTTGTCCTGTCACAGCAGATCCCATTAAGGAGTCTGTCCCCTTCTTTCTTACAGCTCCCCGTTAGAAACTGAAAGGCCGCTCTCAGGTCTCCCTGGAACCCTGAACAGCCCCAGCTCATGCAGACTGTCCTAACAAGGAGGTGTCCCATCCCTTGGGTCATTTTTGTTGCCCTCCTCTGGATGTGCTCCAATGGCTCCATGTCTCTCCCGTACTGAGGGCTGCACAGCTGGATGCAGTACTTGAGGTGAGGTCTCACCAGTGCAGAATGGAGGGGCAGGATCACCTCCCTCACCCTTCTGGCCATGCTTCTTTTAATGCAGCCCAGGATATAGTTGGCTTTCTATAGACTACAAGGACACCTTGCTGGCTCATGCCCAGCTTGCCATCCACCAGTACTTCCAAGTCCTTTTCAGCAGGGCTGTGCTCCATTCTTACATCCCCATACTTGTACTGATAATAAGTGTTGCCACAACCTTGCAATTGGATTTGTTGAACCTCATGAGGTTCTCAGGGGCCCACTGCTTGAGCCTATCTAGGTCTCTAGGATGGCATCTCATCCCTTGGGTGTGTTGACCAATCATAGCTGCTATACTGTAATTCTGGAGGTAATGCTTTCTGGCAGAAGCAGGATCTCCCTTTAACCTACTCTTTGTCTCCTTAGCAGATTTATTCTCCTACGTTCTCTTGAAAGGAAGAACTAAGGATGATAATCATTGCTGACAATCTCCTGGGTTTCTCAGTGTATCACAGCACAGCTGGGTTTCCTAGATATGACAAAAAGTGACTGTGCTATTGAAGTGTGAGATCAGTGAAGTGGGTGATCTGACAATAATCATAGAATATTTATTCACTGAAAGCTCTGCTGACCTACAGCGTGGACACCGTGCTAATATTGGAGTGTAGAAAGAGCACACTTTAGATGAGGAGTGCCATTTATCCCCATCATGTAGTAGTGAACAGTTTTTGTTGCTACAAGGAGTACTCCTTGCAAGCAAACTTCTCTGAAGCAGCTGCAGTTACTCCATTAACACAGGGTTTTCATACTAACAGCAGCCCTTTCTTTGTTTTGAACTTAAATCTATTTAAAAAGTCCTGTAGTAGCTATAGCAGGATCTAAGCAAAGAATGGCCAAAACTGATTAGAGTGGATTTCATCCACTGGTAAAGATTTCTCCTGCATGCTCTTGGCTTCTTTTGTTCTCACTTGTTTGTGTTCTTTCAAGGCATTTCTTCCCATTGTCTGTAATTTCCCAGAGAACACTGCAAACAGAGAAGGGCAGCTATACAACCTCGTCTGTGTCCCTCAGTGCCACACCCACATGGCTCTGGAACACCTCCAGGGACCGAAATGTTTCCTAATATCCAACCTGAGGGAGCTTATTAGAGAGAGGAGAAGGTTGGAGGAATGCAAGAAGTCCCTGCTGTGCAGAAAGTGCTCTAGGGATGTGTTATGGTTATTCTTTTTTCTGCCCCATTGTAATGCAGATTTAAACAGCCCCCTTCATTCTGCTGCTGTCAGTACAATTGTACTGAAGGCTTCATGCTGAGCACAAGTGAGGGAAATTCTCCAGTTCTGGGGGGAAAGGGAGGAAGTCCAGTGACCTTTTGTGCATCTCTGCCAGAAAGGGGCACTACAGGCTAGAACTAGTGCTATGGGAATTGAGGGAATTGCACTATGATAAAAGTAGTGAGTAATGAGATGTGGGTGAATATTTAAATGTTGCAGTTTTGGGGCTGTTCAACTCAGTGGGTTTGAACTTTGTTTGAAATAAGTGGCAAGGGATCTTCTCAGCATATCCACTCTCCTGCAGCTGTTCCATGGTCAGCCATCACACAGGGACACAAAACAAGGGCTGCTGTTGGACCCGTGTGGCTTCCTGAAGGCAAGGCGTGCCATGCAGTCCTGCCCAATGCTATGTCTGCATTCTCTTGGCATTTTCAAGCCCTGGGTTCAGCACGTGACCTGACCTTTACCAAATCTGCAGTTGACGAGATCCTGTATAATCTTTCAGACTTCTTTTGAATTCAAGCAGAGAAGCCTTTTTTGTTTGTTTGTTTGTTTTTCTCTTCACTGGGGCTTGTATTGTATTCTAGCTCTGTTACAGTAACATATGTTCCTAGCCAAATAATGCATTTGCTTGGACAGGATATAACTTTGGGCTGAGATAATAAACACCTCATCAGTGAAAAGCTGATGATTACTGGGAGCCTGCTGACCTTTCAACTGAGTTCCTCAGCCATGTCAGCATTCTCAAATGCTCCCACTTCTCTAATTTGCAAACTGCTTGGGTGCAACGTGGGAAGCGGCTGGGGACTTCCCTGGATGGAGAGCCAGGCATGTGAGGAGGCTGGTGAGGAGATGGCAGCTTTAGTTATAAGGAACTCATCCCTTACAGGTGTTAATGGACACAGATGATCCTCACTGCCAGGAGAACAAAAACTCTTCCCCCCTCTTTGCAGTGGGGTGAAGAGGATGGTTCTAGTTTGGTAGCCAGGGAGGTGCTGTTGCTCTGATTTGTGTCAGCTAGATCTCTAAGGCAAGCAGAGCATGTATCAGCACTCTTGATGCTGTGCCTGTACTATAGCTTGGAAATAGACAAAAGCCACTGTAGTGCCAAAACACCTAATAGAATGGTCTGACTTCAAGTTAATTTGCTTCTTTGAGGTAAGGTAGACAGAGATGATGTTACCGTGAACAAGAATTCTTGTATCTTATGTTGTGGAGTTCTAGGGCAGGAGGGAGGAATGTGGCTAGTGTGTTGTGTGTGTAGAGGAGCCTAATGGAGCATGGGAAGCATTGCCAGGTGTGACCTGGTTACTGGCCTCAATCCTGAGATTACAATCATCAGTAGATCTAATGCTGCCTTCATGTAACTTGTGTGTGTGTGTGGAGGCACATCATAAAACCCTGCAAACTACCTCAGTGGTATTTCAAAGGAATATTGGTGATAAAATTGGGAATATCTGCACAGTTATTACAGGATAGGAATGAAACTCTGTTTCTCTTAGCTTTCTGCTCATAATGCTTCCTTTATAAATCTCTGCTGGGAGCTGGCTTGTTTGAGACTATCTCATATTCTCCACGAAGCAAAGTGATCCTGAAAAAGCCCCTGTAGCTCCAGTAGCTTTCATCTTTGAATTATATCACAAGTAAAATGATCTTAGCTTCATTGGGATCCTCACTGTGCTTTCACCCCTTGAAACGGCTAACCTGTGGCAAAGAACCCTCTGAGAGGGGCAAGGGCAGGAGTGGGGGCTGCCAGGCATCTACTGCTGCCCAGTGGAGAGTGGCACCGGGTAAGCTTGCACCAGTGAAAGTCTCAAGCTTTTTCCCCTTCCCAACAGCTCTTTCAGACCCAGCCACTGCAGCAATTGGCTCCTCTTGTTGCTGACAGCTCTGCCTTTCCTCCTTCATTAGAGGAGCAAAAGTTTTTCAAACAGTACTTAAGAATTCAGACTCATTTAGACCTCTTCCACAAAACAAAATAGCTTCTAGTTGAGCTGGGCTGACAAGAGAGAAGAAATCTATGCAACTCAACTAATTCCACTGGTAACTATCAAACATGTATTGCTGTCATCACCACAAAAAAAAAAAAAGACGACAGCCTTTGATATAGGAGAAAGTCTCCAGTAAAAAGCTATTGCTGTTTTCAGGCTTAGAACTGAACCTCTTCTAAATACAAGATGTGTTCTATGGTCAGTGTAAAGGCATAACTTTAACTGAAGCCGTGGAGCATGGTGATGAGAAGACCACGTTGGCTGGCTCTCTTCATGGTCATTCTTATTGCTACCTTCTTCTCTCCCTCCCAAGAAATTGACTGAAATTATCATTTTTGACTTCTCCCCAACAGTAACACTAGATCTATCTGAGCATGGACAAAGCTCACCTTGGTGAGACATTTGATCAATTGTCTAAATCTAATTAGTAGCCTTTGCTTTCTGAAATACACATAATCATGTTGGTCTACTTGCACTCTAGGAGAGGAGTTGCAGAGGTGTGCAGCCACAGCAGCAACCTCCTATCTGCAGATGGAAAAGAATTAAGCTTCGTGACTGCCTATAGCTGTTCGCTTATTAAAATCTGCAAACTGTGTTTCCACCATTGATACCTGAGTTCGGTGCTCTCATGAACAGCACTTTTGAATATTAAGGGTACTGCTGGGTTTTACTGAAGCAAAATGTAACCTGTACCTCATTCAAAAAGTTTCAGAAGTAATTTTTAGTAAGAAAGAATTCCTTAATGAGGACATACTGACTGTGTATGAAAGCAATGCTTCTGAAAGCTACTTTGTGTAGGGCAGCTCCTTCAAACCCAAGAGTGGTGTTAATACATCTGATCCACAGCTTGTTTTGAAACTAAGAGTCAGTGTTAAGTAGAGAGTTGCTCTGTGAAATTTAGTGAGTGGTTAAATTTCTTTAATCCAATTTCCAAAATGCACATATAGCCAGTTTTTCTGTGTTGGAAAAAAAAACCTCTTTCCATAAGAATTGACGTCTCTATTTAGTGATGCGTTTTAGTACCTGTACGTTGTAAATCTGAGCAAATGATCTAAATGTCTAATATTTAAGCTGCTGAGGATGCTCCTAAGTGCCTTCATACTACTTTCTTTTTTAAGATTAGTTTAATTCTTTCAAACTTTTTTTTCCAGCACAAATAGTACAGTATATTGTATACAGAATATAGCAGTTTTGTGCTGCACAGTATTTTACCTTTAATTAAATAGATCATTGGCTGAGAAATTGGGAACCACCTAGTGACCTTTTATGTGAATCTCTTTCAGGCACCTTCTTGGGCATACATCCTGGGTGCATTAGGACTTTTTATCTACCAGTCTCTGGATGCCATTGATGGGAAGCAAGCCAGAAGAACAAACAGTAGCTCTCCTCTAGGAGAGCTCTTTGATCATGGTTGCGACTCAATTTCTACAGGTAGCCTTAACCTACTGTTACGCATCCTAGTTGTAAAAATAAGTTAGCTGTTTTCAAGAGGAGCTGATTAATCACACATTTGTTGAAATTGGAAGGAACCTCTGGAGATTGTCTGGTTCAGGCCCATGCTCAGGGCAGCTTGTTCCCTTCACCATCAACCATACACCCAGTCACTGCAGCCAGGGCTGCCCTCGACACTTGCATCCCAGATCAGGGAGGGTATTTCAGAAGCACTTTTAGCAGGTGTTGGGTAATACACAGTCTGCACTTACTTGTACATCTTCATGCACTTTGAGCTTAATAATGAACAACATATATAGTAAGAGCATTGCTAGAGATTATATTATGCATAGTTCATGTTTTCCAGTAAGGTACAATTGATGAATAGGATTTACGTGCCTATAAGGCTGATGCTGGAACATGTAGCTAAGGGTTCTGCTTTATGTAAGATGTGCCAGAAAACCCTTTGTGGGCATCCAGCCTGGCAATTAGGAGGAGCGTGGTTTAAAAATGTTCCTTAAAAGAATGAGCTTAAAAAAAGTTGTTTGGGAGTTTCTAAAAAGTAAGCCTTGCTCAGATTTACTTTCTGTAACCTAGCTGCTGTTTGTGGCAATACCTGTGTTTCTATGACAGTTTAAATGGCCTTGAGAAGAGTTGGGATGTTCTTTACAGCTCAGTTCCCAGCAAAGCACTATCAGTCTTTGAGCATAGCTCTTCTGTTGGAGCTCATGTCTGTGCCATAAAGAAGAGGAAAGGCCCAAAGGCAGAATGACTGCAGTAGGCTAAGGGGTGTGGACTTGCCCTGGAAGGAAAGGAGTCTTGTGTTTTGGTCTCTCCCACCAGCACTGACCCTGATGTTAGCTACTTAAGTATCAGTCATATTCTTACCTTGTTATAGTGACCTGAAATGCCTTGTGATTTTCTCTTAACTGCAAGCATAGAGGGTATGTGACTAACATGTTCGTTTCTGCTTTTCAGTTTTTGTTGTCCTTGGATCCTGCATAGCAATCCGACTAGGAACAAACCCTGACTGGTTGTTTTTCTGTTGTTTTGTGGGACTGTTCATGTTCTATTCTGCTCACTGGCAGACATATGTATCAGGCACATTAAGGTTTGGAAAGTAAGTAGGTACCTTTTAGAACTGCATATGACAATGTTTGAAGCTGTTAGCTACTTGATTTCCATTTCTTCTTGTTCTCTTTTCCCCACGCTCTCTGTTCCTGTTACCCTCTTCCTAGTCTCCCTTTCGCCCTAGCAGACTTCTGTTTAATTTTAAGCTGTGTCATACTGAGTACAAGACTTGTTCTTTTAGTAGTTGATTTTAGCTATCTGTGTTTCATCTGCATGCATTTAGCTCCTATTTGCAGATTTATCCACACAGACTTGAGTTGTCTTGCCTGCAGTTTAACCAAGCACCGTATATAGGAGTAGGAACAGAGCAAGCATCTCTGATACTTCCCATTATAATTACCCTGCCATCCTGGAACAGATCCAGCACAGGGGATTCTGAATCAGTGCATTTGTAGCAGAATTCCATGGTAATGGATTTCTCTTCTGTGAACACATTCAGTCTTCCTTTAAACAAACTTTCTGCATCCAGCACATCCCTAAGCAGGGAGTTTCACAGAACTGTGCCAGTGCTTGGAGAATTACCCCAGGTTTATTTGGGGTTTTTGCTGGCTCATATTGACTTTGATGTCCTTGAGGTTTTGTGTTAGATCACAGTTCTACTTGATTTCTGTCGTGTTATTCATGACTTTGTAGACATTGAGTCTGTTCTCACTAAACTGTGGGAGGAGGGGTCATTGACAATCATGTAAAAGATAACAGTTTTGATTTAACTCCCAAAAGTGTGGAGAATGCTGTGCCCTCCTGCAGCTCTGATGGTGCCTAGCATGGTGTTTTACTGTCTTTAAGCAATGAGCTGCACTTTGACAATGATTTATGAGGAGAAATGACCTCCTCAGCAGCTATATCTGAAATAAGTGAGAGGTGAAGGCTGTCCTTCTGACAATCCTTGCCTGCTTAGAGTACTAGTGAGCTCTGTCCTGCAAGAAGCACCTTAGCAAATCAGAGCACCAATGGGCATGCAGGCTAATGATCAGCTATTTGCATGCTGTTTGGTATCTATCTGAAAGGCAGGCTGTCTCTGCAGTAATGCTAAGAGCTCTTTTTATTTGCTGGCCTTACAAACCATAACTCTTATACCTGCTTACCCATCCTGCTTTTCTCCAGAGGACATTCTGTGGTGTAGACAGAAAGGGATGCTTTAGAATGATAGGTGAAAGGATAATTCTTGTAAGTGACAGTGGACTGTGTCCAGTGATGGACATGAACTATGCCATAAGCTCAGGGCTTTTGTAACAAGGATTGCTTTTCTGTGCCTTCTGTTGCATAAGATGTGAGAATGGTTTCTCCATATCAAGAAGGCATTGAAGCTCTTTTCTCTCTTAAGAATGAATAGTTGTGAGAGTCTAAATAAAGGTAGTATACTCTACTATATACTCTAACTATGATAACGCATAATACGGATGAAAGCTTTAACTGATGCTGTTCCTGAATTAATGGCATTTGATTTTGGAAGTGAAATTACTGATGAGTCTCAGCACTGATGGCCAGGAAGAAGAAGAATCAGCACAGCTGGGTATTATACCTCTGCCAGGCTGTACAGATAGAATACTCCAGGGCTCAATAAAATCTTTGGCCTTCAATTTGAGCTGCATTGCAGCCAACTGTCTGAGTCTCTGTAAAATTAAGTACAAAACTTAGGCACATATAATGACTCAGCTTGGAGTCCTGTCACTTTACTAAACAGGTAGAAAATACAAACTCGAACAAGACTTGCAAGCTGAATTGGTTCATCTTACAGTCAGAACAGTGCCCACAACTAGGAGAAGTGAGGGAGCACAATGACACAGGAGGGAGAAAAGAGTGCCCCTTCTTACTTACAGCTTTTGGCAATGACAAGCATCTCAGCACATCATCTAGTTGTACATAAAACATTGGCTCTTGTAAGAGTCTGAAGACTGCAATGGAACTTGGCATATTTTGTGTCACTATCTTACATTAAAAAGTTTGAAGTTATTGTGAATATCAAGATCAGATAAGTGTTTTCCATTAGCCAGGAGCTGGTTCCCATCTCCTTTTAAAAAAACACCACTTCCTGTGCAAACAGTTTGTGTGCTAAGCAGGGAATGATGCATCTTGATTTTGGTCAGTACTTTAAAGTAGCACGTCTATTCTAACTACTTATGGAAATATATTTTAAACATCTATTGTTACTGCTTGCTAGTAACGTTAGTACTTTGGGGTTTTTTTTAATACATACTTATATATTAATGTACGTATATATATATACTTACATACTGAGCTCTCTCAAAATATTTCAGAAATTAGAGACAGTAAGATAGATTGGCTGCCATGTCTGAGAACAGTAACAGTGGAATTCAGAGTCTCGACTATAGAAGGGATTGAAGACCACTTGTTTTATAAAATGTTTTATGGAAAAAAGCAATATGTCATTGATGAGTGTCTTCTGAAATCCCATCTGTCCCATTCTGCTCTTCGTGGTGCCTACTTCTGTATGATACTTTCAGTGTGTTTTCTATGAACTTAATATTTAACATGGTTACTTGCATAAGAAGTCCGTAGATTTTTCAAAATTCTAAAATAGTTAACAGTGTATTCATTAAACATTGTTTCCCTGTGAAAATTGCATTCAGCTTGCTCTAGGTTAAGCACATAGTTCCATTTTAAATGTGTGCCTCCAAACAGTATTTTTCTTAGATAAGGAAAATCACATTCTATATGTACTTTGTGGCTTAAGGGGTAATCTGAAATAACTCAATTTTACTTTGCTCTCCCTGCCCCCCATCTCCCTACACTTAAAGCAAACAGAACCTTACTGAATCACTAACATTTACTTTTTTCCCCCTAGAGTTGATGTAACTGAAGTTCAAATAGCCATAACGGTGTTGCTGTTGGTATCTGCATTTTGTGGAACAGCAATATGGGACTATAAGGTAAGTGTATAAAGTACATCATTTCCTATGGCAATTGAAGCTATGCAGTTCAACTAGAATCAACCCCTGCCAGTTGTCTGATGTTCTGCCTGGGCTTCCTGTACAACTATGGGTTATATTTACGTTGTAGGTAACTTAGATGTAATGGTGTGACTCGCTGTGCACAAATTTAGAGCTATGTAGAGGAAAAAAAGACTCCATCTGCCGTGTATGCAAACTACTGATCTGTCACTAATATTCTGCTTGTAGTGAAGCTTTAACACATATTTTGTTACTTCTGTGTATTTTACTGCAAGACTGGCATTTTTATTCTAATTCTGTTCTATATCTAACAAATCTACGTTACTGCAGAAAATCCAGATTTATGTGTCAGTTGAGATGTACTGATTTTTAATGGTTATGTCAGAGCTGACTTTAAACATACATCCTATATTTATGGAATTGTTTTCTGTCCAAAAGCGTTTGTTTGCCTATCTCTGGCTTTCACTCCATCTTTAAATATTCACTTTAGCATGCAACAAAAGTGCATTAGACCAGTAATTCAAATTAGTTTACCAGTTTACTCAGCAGTTAGAGACTATTTAGCTGAGGTTTGTTTCCTGCAAGGCGCTTTTGCTCTATTTTCACACAGAGTTATTTTCACATTGGAAAACAACTTTAAATATTAATGAATTACAGTTGCTTTTTTTTTTCAACATTAAAATCTGTGACAGTTACGCTGTATCTCAAAACAATCTATATTAAAAAATATAGCCAGTGGTTTCAATTTATTGCTACTTCTTTTCTCTTAAATCCTCTGCTGCCTTTGGAAGTTTCCTTGAAACTGCAATTGATTCTGAAAGGTAACTGTTTAACAAAAATTTTCATCCAGAGACGATTTTAAGTGCAAAGATACAGCATACAAACAACGAGTATTAAAACACAAAGCAGGCAGATGGCGTTTGTGTTTCCTGTGGTTTGGTATTGCAGTACCCACTGAGAGGGAAGGAACTGTCCTTCCTGCCCCTCCCATGTCCTGGTGGAACAAGCCTGTGGCAAGCTTTTGCTTATACAATAAAAAAAAGCACCTGAAGAATATTACAAGCACATGCAGTAAAATCTAGTTCAGTGTCAAGGCCAGAAGTTGTTTGAATTTGACTTTATTCCTAAAAGAAATGTGATGCCTTCTTAATAAGGAAATAAACTCCAAGCATTGTCCTCCTGAGCTTATTTTCAGCAAGACAGTCATGCAAGTAAAACAGTTCCTTAGTAAGGGTCAGTAGTGTGGTGGTTTTTGTTTTTTTTAATCACCTCCTGGGGGGGGGGCAAAAATAAAGCTGGTATCTGTGACCTTCAATATCTTTCTCTTGCTTTTCCTGCTAAGGTGCATTTGATAGGCCTAGAACTGAAGTTCTTTGCAGTTGTTGGCATACTGTGTGGAACAGCAGTTTCATGTTTCAATTACTTCCGCGTCATCTTTGGTGGAGGGGTTGGAAAGAATGGATCTACAATAGCAGTAAGTTGTTTTAACGTTCCGAATAGGGTTTGAATAATTTACATTCGTAATTTATTAGACTCCAGGTAATCAAAAGAGTTTTGTCTCTTTAAGCAGACAAGCATATGAATTTCACACATTAAAAATACTTATTTGTTAATCTGAGTATGTTGGATGGTCAAAGCAAAGACTTATTTAGCTGTGTTCTCTGTACCTGTTACTGGATTCCTTCTGTCACAGGAAGCAGCAGTGAATTTTCTTTCAAAGTTGATCAAAGGTTATCATAAAGGATATTAATAGCAGTAGCACAGTGCGAATGGACTTTCCCTAAGATTTGACAGCTCTAATTGCTTTCATTCAGTGGGTGTTTTATATATATATATTATTATACTATATTACTATATATTGTATATATTAATATATTGGTTTTTATATTCTTATTATTGTATTATATTAATATATATTATTGTTATATTTCATATATTAATATATTGATTTTATATTATTATTGTATTATATTAATATATATTGTTATTATATATAAAATGTTGGTCTTGCTGTGCGATTAAAGCCAAAGAAGAGTTTTCTCTCCCTTTGTATTTCAGGGAACAAGTGTTCTTTCACCAGGTGTCCACATTGGGCTACTTGTCACACTGGCCACTGTGATCTACAAAAAATCTACAATTCAGCTGTTTGAGAAACATCCGTGCCTGTATGTCCTGACATTTGGATTTGTGAATGCTAAAATCTCACAGAAGTTAGTGGTAAGGAATCTTCTCTCAGCCCTAAACATCAACCAGTTGTTGGCTTAACAGATGCATTCTGAAGCAGTAAGCACAGTGCAAGTTTTCCAGATTTGCTTTGCTACCACATTATGTTATGACCTACACACTGACACAGGCTTAGTCTCCTATAGAAATTAAATATGATACTGATGGGGGGAGGGGGGGGTGGGCTTGCTAGCTTACAAGTTACTAGCCTTGCTGATTGCTCAAGTACATATGGATAGATGTAACTAAAAAGAGCACAGAAGGTCATGTGTTATATTTCCTATGTAATAGTAAAAAAAAACAACCACCAGGACTTGATTCAAATAGCTGATATCACTGATTGAAGTGCTGTATATTGATTGAGCAACCTGCAGACAGGTTACTTAGCCCTTGACAAAGAAACTGTGAGAGATCAGCAGGCTCTTGACCTGCCTGCTGATTGCTTTCCAGAGGGCCCTTCAAAGAGGCTGGTGAAAGGTAAGGACACTGTGCTTTCTCTTAAAGTGGAGGCTTTGTGGTAGTTACAGTGATCTCACAGTAGTGCCTTTTGTGGTCGTTGTTTTTTTTTTTTTAATAGGTGGCTCACATGACAAAAAGTGAAATCAGTCTTCAAGACACTGCATTTATTGGACCAGGACTTCTCTTTTTGGACCAGTACTTCAACAGTGTCATTGATGAATATGTTGTTCTATGGATAGCTCTGGTAAGCATTCTGCTTTATACTTTTGATGTGGCATATATAAAGGAATGGACTGAGAACTGTCTCCATCATTCCACTCTGCCATTTCAGATTTACTCAATTTCACCTGTCATTGTGGAAAGAGTGCCAGGATACTGCATAACCGTATGCTTTGGGAGCTAATTGGCTTTCTTTCCTCAGCAAAGAGATCTGAAAGTAAAATTATGGATCTCTTTTTTGTAATTCTGCTTTAATTCAGGTGGTTTGTTTAATGTTACTCTAACTACAAACTGTGCAGTGCATATCAAACTTCATAAAATTTGATAAATTCTGATTAAAGCTGAATTTATAGCAGAGACAATTTTGTGAAATATGTTCTTAACCTGTTCTGTTTTGTTCTTTTTAAGTTCATATCCTTGTTTGATATGCTGAGATATGCCACTGGTGTATGCCTACAGATTGCTGCTCATCTTCATATACATGTCTTCCGAATTTCATCTCATCAAGCTCCTGAACAGGTTCAGAACCATACTGACTGATTAAATAGGTCAAGGAGAAAATAAACAGTTAGCAGAATGCTGAACGAAGCAGCCTCTCTGGGAAAACAGATTAAGCTTTTCAGTAAACTAGTTTCATGAGAAAACAGCTCATGCTATCCCAGAAATTACCAGATGCTAGAGTTATTAAATACAAAGTCATGCAGGTTCTGTTTCAGTGTTTTAGACATTGGAGCTGTTACTTCATACCATAACTGTCACATTTGAAACTTTTGTTATCTCCTGCTAAGTACTCTTAATTATGTACTTCTGGTCTCAGACTGTAAGCTGCAAACCAAGGTGCTACAAAACAGAATTATTTTTTCCTAAAGCAACTGATTTTCTAACGTTAGTTTCTGAAGTATTCTACTGTGAAATGGTAGTCAGAGGTGGATACAGTACTGCATTGTCAAGACTGGTAAAAATGAGGGATCCTTGAGGTAAAACTAGTAATCTGCTTTGAAAGTTCTAAAGAACAAGATAGTGCACCAGTAAGATGAAGGAAATAGAGGAAAATTTTCTTGTTCTCTATTTCAAGATACTGTTGGCAGTGCCTTTAGGATTCATGCATTCTCTAGTATCTAGCTTATTGTTACTAAACACACTTGTAGCTTAGAGGCTGTTTTCTAATGACAGTTTCTGCTTTTGTGATTATAGTAAGGTTTGCCTCATTGTACCCATTATCTAGGCTGTGGGCAGCTAGGTACTGGAGGACTGTAGCTTCACCTACCCTAATTTTTATCTGTGAAACTGTGTAAGTTGAATGACTAAGTTCCTTGAACTTTAATGTCTGTTAGACTGTGACAATGCAACACACCCGAATATGACAGTGCAACCTACCTGCGTGTAACTAATTCCCTCTGAACTGTGTTTGCCATTGTTTGTATTAATTTCTGTTGTAATCTAATTTATTTTGTTACTGTCACCATACTTTATCCAAACAAAACTATAAGGAACTAAAACCTATGTATAGTAAAACTCTACAAAATAGAAGGTCAGTCCTAATATCAGCCTTTTTTCTTTTCATTACTGAAAAAATAAAGTAGCTTACTGTCTGTACTAGCAAATTACAGCTTGCACACAAAACCTAAATGCTCAAGCTCCTTTAAAGAGGTAATACATTAATATTATTTTTGTGAAAAGCTGCTGAATGTACACATTGTCACTTTTACTTGTTGCCATGTAGCTGAGCTTTAAGGTTCATAAAGATGTTACTGAATTGTACAATAAAGAATGCTATTATTTGTTGCAAAAATATTACACTGCAGCTTCCTAGCTGCTGAATTCAGAAAGCCTGCCTGAGATATAGGACAGAAAATACTGTGCAACATGTTCCCGAGACCTCAAAAATGTAGTATAGTACTAGGTATAAATAGTTGTAAAGTTATGGTAGAGGTAAGGAAATGGTAGAAAACAAGTGCAGAAAAAAGCCAGAAACAAGAGGTAATGGCAACAAGTAACCTAGTATAGAAGAGAGGAAGCAAAGCCTGTTAACTGTATAGCATAGCATCATCTAATTATCCTTAAAGGGCAGAGACTGAACACCACAGCTAAAATTAGCATTGCTAGTTATCTGATACTCACCATGGACCCATACTACCTCATGCATCATCCTAGCAATGTAATTTCTGTGTTTGCTCTGTCCCTGAGTGCCATCTGACACAACACAAGACAGCTCCATACAGGCTACTTGCTCAATTTCAGTTGCAACCCACAAACTGAATTTTCTGTAAATTAGCTATCACTGATCTGTCTCCTGGCACTGATGAGCAGTCATCAGATATGTTGGTTCTGAACTAAAAATCCTAGTAAGCTGCAGATAAGAAGTTGTACGGTCTGGTTTTGAAATACATTGTTTTAAAGTAATCAGATCTGCTTGTGTGGGTGGTTTTTGTGTTATCTACTATTATATGAAACCTAACAACACGTATTTTAGGAACTACCTAATTTGTAAAAGTGGATGTTCAAGTGTAATGACTTTCTGTAAAAACAAACTACAATGCAAGCTAGGCTGGCTGTTTTAATTTATAATCACTGACTGTAATGAGATGCATTAATGAAAAATGCTTCATTCTTAAAACAGACCTCCCTGAACTGCTAATCATTTGAAACTGCAAAAATTAATATTCCATTTCAAGTAAGTGAGCTAGACTACCTCAGCAGAAGTGTGCAAAAATATATAACCCAAAATGCATGCAGTAATATTCAGTTATGCTTACTAGAGCAGATGTCCTGTCAAGCTGTGGTACTACGCTCATTGTTCAATTAAAGAAATCTGCTTTTTGGACAAGTTACAGCAGTCGATACATCTCTCATTGGTAAAAAGAAATCACAATGGCCTGAACAAAAGGCCTCATGTTTCATTTACCATAACATACATCATTAAACCACCTTTCATAATCCATGAACTTTAACTACTGACAGGTCTGTAGGCTATATGTTGAAACTGTGAAAATCTTGAAGCTGTGGCTTTTGTAAAAGGCTTCTATTTGCAGTGTACCCAGATTTGTTAACTTTCTATACAAAACTTCAATTTTTTTCCCATTCATTTTACCTATTGTTTCAATTGAGCGTTATAAAAAGTGAAACAATCGGACAGTCCACTGCTAATGAAAGTGGATAGTAATTGGGCAGACCATAATTGGTTAGGGGTTTGTTCCCCTTAGAAACAGATTTACTAATATACCCTCTTACAACATTATCAGACACGAGATTAGAACAATCCATTAAAGTATTTAATAGGAACTTTAAAACACTTAAATCTTAAGATAAAGTTCTTTATGGCTAATGCCTATACTTGTATCGTGTTACTTAGGTACAAGTTGTTTCTCCATTGAGCCATCAGAATAACATGGACTGAAGAGACTTGCGAACGGTTGCCATCTCCTGCTGTTGCTGTTACAAGAAAAGGAGATTATTCTGAACAGATGCCATACCAATATGATTCCTTAATCTAATTAAATGATGTCTAACGACTTCCTTATAGCATGTTCTATTTTTGTATTTAACAAAGTTCTTTATAACTACCGATACTTACAGTGTCCATCATGATCTTCTTCTGTAGCATAGCCATTTCTTTGCGAAGTTCATTCTGTGCACCAGCTAGAAGAGTTTCATTGTTTTTCTCTAGCTCTTCCATGCTCTGAAGTTAAAGATAATCTTAATTCAGAATGCTCAATATCAGAAGTTCAGTTTAGAAACAGACAATCCATTATTCAGATTACAGTTCGATTTTTATAGCAGTAGTGGTCACTGACAGTTGCAGATGAATTTTGTCATGAACTTAGAAAAGAAAATTGTATAGGACTCCAATCTACACCGCTGCTTAAACAACACATACCCTGTGACAGAAACAGTCCTTTCCACTCAGCATCTACCAGGTGTAAGCTACTATCCTGCATTTCAATAAAGATGACAATTCTACAAGTCTAGATGTATCTGTCAGGAAGTATGAGGTGGTACAGCTGAATATCGTGACAACCTTGGAGACCTGAAGCAACAACTACAGAAAATGTTACGTTCCCTCCTCTTTGCACATTTCACTCTAAATAAACTGAGGTAAGGCTCACTGGTTATCTTCCCTTTTGCTCACAGTTTGCCTAACTGAATGCACATTGCTGCATTTTCTTTGATTTGTACTTAAAGTTAAGCATATTTGAGGCTTGACTTTTACCTTTTGATCTTCTCTGAGAAGAAAAACTGCAATTTTTTTTTTTTTTAAAACTTTGCTGAAGATATTTAGACCTTTTAAAATGGTTACTGTTTATGAACATCTCTGTAACGTCCTATAACGTAAACTTCAACTATCAAAGTGTTCCTCTGTTTTGAATTTATTTGTCAAAGCTGCCTGACTTGAAAAAACATACCATAACAAGCAAATTTCAAAACGGGACAGTTAGGAAAGGAAGACAACTGGGAATGTTCAGCCTGCAGAAGAGGAGCTCTAAGAGAGCTCATGAGATTCTATATGTAACTGAGAAGGATGGAGAAAACAGAGCCAGGCTTTTTTCAGTGGCATCTAGAGACAGGACAGGAGGCCACAAGCTGGCACACAAGAGGTTCCCTCTCAACATCAGGAGAGGTTTCTTCACTGATGGGGTGACTAAGCAATGAAACAGGTTGTCCAGAGGGGCTCTGGAGTCACCATCTTTAGAGATAATTGAAAGACTCTTAAGTAGTCTTGTTAGATCAGCTGCTGGTTAGACCAGATGACTTCCAGCAATTGTCTTTCTTATTAAAAGCCAAATTTGGAGTAAGAGTATTCAGTCATTTTTTGTTTGCTGTCTAGCATATCAGCCACTTTTTAAAAAGGCTGATAATTATTTATGTGTTTAAAATACAGCATGTTATGTAAGCAGTGTCCAAAAATTATACTTGTAGGGGCTGCTAGCAAATACAAAATCTATTCATAAATCAACAGGAAAGTTAAACTGGGATGAACAAGCCCAGCCAGTCCTCCCCTGCAAAGACAGGCTGAGGGAGCTGGGCTTGTTCAACCTAGGTAAAAGAAGGCTGCAGGGTGACCTCATTGCAGTACCTAAAGGAGCCTACAAACAGGAGGGGAATCAACTCATTGAAAGGGTAGATAACAGCAGGACAAGGGGAAATGGTTTTAAGTTGAGGGAGGAAAGGTTTAGGTTGGATGTCAGGGGCAAGTTCTCTACTTTGAGTGGTGAGGTGCTGGCACAGGCTGCCCAGAGAGGTTGTGGATGCCCCGTCCCTGGCGGTGTTCAAGGCCAGGTTGGATGGGGCCCTGGGCAGCCTGGTCTGGTATTAAATGGAGAAGGTGGTGGTCCTGTGTGTGGCAGGGGGGTTGGAGATTCATGATCCTTGAGGTCCCTTCCAACCCGGGCCATTCTGTAATGAAACAGGACTGAGCAGAAACCATCCTGCAGGACCTATTTTCACCAAAAGCCATTATTTGTCAGATTCTTCAAGTTAGTTTCTGAGTAAATATTTACCTTTTGTACGAGCTTATATGAAGGAAAACCCTGTCAAATCAGTGTTGGTTAGGGAGAAAAGAGGAAAAGGAAGCAGTAAGAAAAAAAAAATAAAAAATAATTACATAATTTTAAAAGAATTACAAGTCATTTGTTGGCATTTTTCTTGCAGGAAGCAGCAGTAGCTAGAAAGGTTCATGACCAAAAAAAACCTGACATCAAATTCTCATGGAGAATGCACGTGCCAGCAGTATTAGAAGTAGTAAATTACAGCATAAAATGTTAATTTTATGACTGACTTTCACTTATGGCTGACTTTCACTTTTTCAACACGTACAAAAAACCTGAGGGACAGCTGAGACAGAAAACCCGATAATTTGACTGTCTATATAAAGTTTTGGGTTAGAAAGCATGCTCTGAGGGTTAAATATTTGAAACAGGAAAGCCCATCAGACCCCTGCAAGAACACACTTTATAAAGCATTCATATACAGGCACAGTATGTGTGTGTATTTGGAAAGAACAACTCATTTTTAAATAAAGAGAACTAACTAGCATGAAGACTCATGCTAAGCTGTTGTCCCTCCTTAAGCAAACATTAAATTTCTGTATTACAGAAAGGATGGATTACTACAGCTTTCCTAATGATGTGATAAGGATCAGCTGTCTTCTAAAATGAAAACTTACTGTACCTTTAAGAATTGCTCATATAGTTGCTTAATAGTTTTCAGTCTCTGACTTTGAACTATTCTTGCCTGTTGAAAAACTTTTTGTTGCTGACGAAACATATTCTGAAGCAGAAGCAAAAAGAAAAAAAAAAAAAATGCTGTTAGTTGACCCAAAGTACTCTGACAGCAGCACTGGTTATCATTTATCAGAATGAAAAGATTCTACCTTCATTAACAATCTGGCTCATAGAATTGAGACACCTGCATGGAGAGTTATCCTTGTTTTTATTAATAAAAGGACTAAAGATTGGATTAAGCCCCGAGCTGTCACCTGCAGGCCTTTCTAAAGGGAAGTCTGTGACATCCTATGAGAACAGCTGGCCAACACAGTATCTGAGAGTATTCCAGGGAGATGTGCTGAACTTGCAAACATAGTGGGGGTACAGATTCACCAATAGCATGTGATTGTATTCCACTGTCTCCTTTAATCATGAAATTCTCATAGATTTATTGCGTGGAGACATATTTTTAAGCAATGCTTGCTTAGATACACTTTCCTGTACTCCTTTGTTCTTCCCATGCAAAGTCTGTGCATGCTCAGAATCAGCACATCAGTTTCTTCTCTGAAATCACCTCAGCTTTTCTCAGGCCATACATTGGCCTAGGGCTTCATTTATTCCCATTCATAAACTTGCAATAAAGTACTTCACTTTTTTCTTCACTTTGAAACATATTCTCAAATTCAAACATTTATTGAGCCACCCAAAGGTGAATGAAATTCTGAAGAGTTATGTGTTTGTCTGAACTATGTACAGTATTTTCACATCTTTACATGTTTGGGTGACCTGGTTATATCAGTATTCCATATCATGACATCAAAGAATCATAGAATCTCTCAGGTTCGAAAAGACCTTAAAGATCATCAAGTCCAACCACAACCCAGCCATACTATGCTAACAACCCTCCACTAAATCATGTCCCTGAGCACCACATCCAAACAGTTTTTAAACACATCCAGCTTTTAAACTCAACCACCTCCCTGTGGAGCCTATTCCAATGTTTAACAACCGTTTCTGTAAAGAAGTGTATCCTGATATCCAACCTAAACTTACCCTGGCACAACTTGAGGCCATTTCCCTTTGTCCTGTCACCAGTGAGAAGAGACCAACCCTGTTCTTGTTGTAAGCACCTTTCACGTATTGGAAGAGAGCAATAAGGTCTCCCTTCAGCCTCCTTTTCCACAGACTAAACAATCCCAGTTTCTTCAGCCCCCCCTCACAGGGCATATTCTCCAAGCCCTTCACAAGCCTTGTGAAGCCTCACGTGTCAGGCTGTTGGGTGTAGAGGCACAGTGCACTGTACAGTTGCATTTCCTAGTCTCATGCCCTCTAGCAGTCTCACTTGAGTTCTGATTCTCCAAGAGGAAGATATTCTACACTTCGCAAGGGCCACCACATGATCTACAATTCTGGGTGATAGAGATGACATGGCTTCCTAGTTCAGGCACGGTCATAGCCTTCCTTTCTCTCCCATTTGAGAGATTAATTGTAACTCTCCTTATCATCATCTTACATTCCTTTACCATTTGTAGTAAATACGTTCTCTCTCCTTATCTTAATTGGGTCATTTTTCTTTCCTTCTCCCCAAAAGGGGTGCCCCTGTCCTGTTGCACTTGAAAATGTGACACTGGGGGTCTCCCTGTGAATAATACACTGTGAAACACATCCCATGTTGGAAACGCACCGCTAGTTTTTCTTCCTGTTCCTCTGCTTTCTGTACATCTACATCCCACTGCTGAAACACAGTCAGGAACTGCTGGGAGAACTCATGATTGAGCTTCTGCCTACAAGCAGATGTTGGCTGTAAGTACTACAAACACTCTGAAGAACAACAAGGAAAGATAAAGGTTCTACATGCACAGAATAGGAGCTAGTGTGAATTAAAAAAAAAAAAAAAAAAAAAAAGGCTATTTTGAATCTGTCTCTAACTGAACATCATGCTTTAGAAAAATAAAAAAGGAACACTCACACATAAGTACTTATATAGTGACACAGCACTGATAGATGAAACAGATTAAAAACAAACAAATCAAACAACAAAATTTTCTCAGCAGAATTGTCAGCATTTTACAGAATTACTGTTTTAACCAAATTACAGATTTTGGCATTGACAAGTTTATAATGAAAAGAAAATCAGCTCATTCTTTAGTTCATGATGCTGTAGTCTCTCTATGTAAACAACATTTGGTTAATACAAGTTTCAATACAAGTATTTGCTCTGCTTATAGTATCAGACATCACAGGTCTCAAAACCAAGGGTAAATGTTACCTCTGCTCCTGCTGTGTCTTCCAAACATGTTCAATCTTCTGGTTACTGGTTTTGAGTGAGGCTTTTGTATACATTTCTAATCTTTTCCTCTTGGCTAAGAGAGCTTTGTTAATGTCAGCTAGAATCAAAGAGTAGTTAGAAATTAAGCATACCTTAAGCATATCTAGAAGTTAAGCATACTTGGACACCAGAGCATTTTATTAAAGATGCTGATGAATTTATGCTTTGGAAAAGCAAGCAAGGCGTGTTCCAACAGAATGAAGCTCACATGATCTGGGCTCATGTCTGCTAAATTAGGAATCTTCACCTACTGCTGGCACAGGTATGAGAGCTGCTTCTTTATTCCCCCCATAGAACCTACCTTACACCAGGCATCTGGAGCAGCAACTGGACATCACCCCTTCTCCTCATTTATTTCACTACACAATTAGCTTAACACTTCCAGGCCTCCCACTAATTCAGCTAGGCCAATGCTTTTTAGATTTTTCTCAAGAAAGAACATTGGCTCAAATGTTTTAAGAGTAATATCCAAGCAAATTGCCTAGATTTCAGAAATAAGAGGTTGTGTGGGATTACTGCCACTGTCAACATATTGAATGAATGAATGTCAAACTACTACTTATACATCAGAAAGACTCCAGTATTTTTTAAGAAGTATTCAGGTTAATGTAAGTTAATATGTTCATTTCATTTTAATTTACATTTGGAGATCTAAGGAACAAGTCACAGGTAGCTTAAGGTTGGTGTTTAAAGCAATTGCTTTTCCTTCCTACTGTAGCCTTCGGAAAACATCTCTCTAATGTGCTGAGGCATCTGCCCCTGCTACTGCCAACCCTATTACTTTTAATCAGAGAGCATCCTCTCTTTGATTCATTTATTTTCCTTCCATCTTTTGAGTCCTAACTAAAAAGCAATCCCAGCTTTTTAATATTAAACTCTTGTCTATACTGTTAGATCCAAAATAGCACACTAACACGTATCTTAACTGAAAAAAAATATCTTAATTCCTTAATTAAAGAATTCTTCAAACTCTTTCACCTTGAGATTTGCATGCAAACAACAACTGTGTAGTTACTTTTCATCTCATATATGAAACTATCAACCAGATACTGAGTAATGCCAGCATTACAATGTTCTCCCTTTCTGATGCTTTTTTAGACAATTTGTATGAATGAATTCATTGCAAGTGCAATGAGCTTTTTCTCTAAGCTGCCAGTTGTCTGGAATTCAGTTCATCATTCTGAATGTTAAGTAAAGCCATCTAGGATTTCACTTGATTATGACTTAATTAAATCCACATAGGCAACACAAACAAATCCCTCCACACTACATGGCCAATATTAAATACCCTCATTCTTTTGCTGTGCTAGAAACTTCTTACTCTCCTTTCTGACTGCTGAAATTCTCATTTCTACAGATTCCAAGATTCTCTAGACTTCTGCAGATGCAGTGCAGACTGCTACCTTTCTAGCTCCATTTTATCACAGCTACAATTTACAGTCATTCCTTATCTTGAATTTGAGTTACTTTTTCTATTTAGCTGCTTCATGTTTAGATGCCCTTCATTTCCTCACACCAGTCTTGCAATCACCACTCTTACAACAAAAAATTGAATAAGGGCAATGGATTTTTAATTCACATTGTACGTTCTCTGTGATATAATCACTGCCTCTCAACCACTCCTTAAAGTGGGAATTGATCATCAAAAGTACTCATGCATCTTTGCCTTCTTCCTTTATAATAGCGTCCACACAATACTTTTCTCTCTCCTTATATACAGTTATGCCCTTCTCTTCTATCCATCTGCTCCAGACATATCACATATTAGTTCTCATCTGCAAACTGGCTGTAGGCAGTGCTACAAACACCAGCCATTTTATTCAAATCTCATAAGTTATCTTGCAAAAATGAATTATTGCCAATTCTGTAACTTAAACATTACTTTGCAATTTGTTAGAACATGAGTGTACTTACCTCCAAATCTTTCCAGCATATTCTGTACTTCACCCCTAAAAAATAGTTTATGATTTTTGAGCATTTCTGGACTTTTGATTAAGACCTGATGTAAATGCCTTAAACTAATTTTATCGCAAGCCTGTTACTTGTAAGCAGTGATAGAGTTGTTACTGCTCCACAAGATATAAATAAGACTTACTCCTCCTTCCCCTCCTGCAAAAAAATCTTTTAGAATTAGTTTCTTGATGAAAAGGTTACTACAGTCTATCAGCTTCTCAATAAAGAGGCATTGGAGGCATTCAAGGCCAGGCTGGATGTGGCTCTGGGCAGCCTGGTCTGGTGGTTGGCAACCCTGCACATAGCAGGAGGGTTGAAACTAGGTGATCATTGTGGCCCTTTTCAATCCAGGCCATTTTACGCTTCTTTGATTCTATGATTAGGCATTTAAAGGGTCCTGAGTGAAAGAGAGTGGTAAATAAAGCTAATCATTCCCCCATCCCCAAAGAAAAAGGTATGCAGAGCATCAAAGAACAAAGAACAATTTCATTAAAGTTAATGTAACTGAAATTAAAACAAAAAAAAACAAACAAACAAACAAAAAAAAAACACAACATAACCATCCAAGATAAATGATTGCAGGGTTGTTTTTATAGCACTTAAGATGGTATCAGCAGTGTGTAAAGCAGTGGTATGACAGCTGACAAAACAGTTACTGTGTTTATGTATTTATGTCTCACTTTTTCCACAGGATACCACTGTTTTTTGGGGAGGAAGAAAAAAAAATTCAACTCAACGGCCTTAATCTCAAGAAGAGCTTCTGCAACACATACTTTTGCATTGTAGTTATTTAGCCAATAAATTTTCACTTTCATTCCATTTATCAAAAATATTTTTAATGTATTTTTTAGATCATTTTAAATACTGTTAATACCTTCAAGCAACTGAGATCAGAGGGGGAAAATATAATAAAGAATTTTTTTAAGAAAATTCACCATTAAAAAAATTTAAGGACTTTTTTTTTTAAGAAGCATATTCTAAACCTTACCCCATATCATCTGGAACCACATGAGTAGTCACCATAGGTCTTTTCTTGCCATGCTTGTCCATTACTGGTGTTTCACCTTAATGTAAATTTCAAAAAGATTTACAAAAATACTTCATATTTTGTGGGGCCTTTTGAATTCCTGGAAGTGTAATTACTTTTCACTAAGATCACTTCTTTGAACATCTATCCCATCCCTTACACATCCAGCTCCTAACACTTGATTGCAAAGAACTGACAGACAGCGATGGACCTCACATGCCTGGATTTGAGCTGGCACTGCCCTGAGTTCCTCAGTGCTGGTCTCCACTAATTGGAGTTCCTCAGTCTACTGCTACACAATTACCTTCAGCTTCACAATGTAACAATCATCAGAAAGCTAAAATTGATCTTAAAAATCAGGGAAAAAAAGAGACTTACAAGCATTTCATTTTACCCTAACTACTGAAAATGTGTACTCTGACTTTTAAGGAAGCAAAACCACAGAGAGATATATTTACATTCTCCCAAAATAGATTAATAAAACCTTGGCTGTTAGATTTCTGTTACCAAAGGTGGGGGAAAAGATCAAGAAAGATTATAACTAATTCAAGACAAAAACAGAATTGTGAAAGAATACGTAGAAATATGGATTGTTTTGAAACAGTGAGCATTAGTGCACACAGCCATACAAGCTATCCTGAAAACAAGACATCTATAAATGCTGTAAGGCTGTTCAGCTATTCTTAGAGAAATTACGTTGGCAAACTAAACAAAAACTGAAAAAGATTCTTCCCAATTCCATACCTACTTCCCAATTTTGCAAACCCCCTCATTCAGGAGGTTGTAGAAATGTACATTCTGATCCACACACCAGCTAATACAAACTGGGTGGCCACTGCTATTTGAAGCTTAGGACATACTGACCAGACTTGTCAGATATTTCACAGAAAGCAGCACAGCAAACTTCACAGGCAACACTCAAGATGCTAGTTTCATTATTTGTGCTTACATTTCACTGTCTTATAGAAATGAAGAAAAGGATTTAGTTTAGACAGATGGGGGGGTGGGGGGTGGAAAGGAAGAGAGACAAAACCCAGAGATGACTGCTGAAAGACAAAATCCAGAAGTTACATCAAACTTTGCCAAAAAATATCACTTGAAAAATGAGAATTGTATTTTAAATCCACTCTTTGCTACAATCCCTCAAACTTTAAATGAGAATCCCTTGGCTGACTTTAATTCATTTTTTCTCAGCCGTCTGTACCTCTTGCTTTTTTTCTGTTGAGATTCTTCCCAAAGTTCTTTGTGAACGTGAGACCCTAGCTCTGCCTTGTATCCAATTCTGCTCTCTGTCCAAGCAAGCAGAGCTTTCCTTCTCTGTCCTGACCCTACAGCATTATATGCAGCCTAGCAATAGTATCTAGCTTTAATAAAGACATTAACAATAAGTTCAAGACACAGCAGGGCACTAAGCTCTATAGTGTTCTCTTACTAATCCAAACCACACACCAGGAAACTCTCACAAGCATTAGGAAGCATGCTTGTTCACTGACCTATAATATCTTCCTATCTGCTCAGAGGTGGAAACACTACAAACCTTGTTTAAGAAAAAAAAAAATAAAATCATAATAATCAGCAGACAAGCACCTTCTCTAATATCTTCCTCTGATCCGCTCAGGTCTTTTCTTTCCTCCTGAAAGTCATAGGCAGATCTGGCTTGCTCTTCCTGTGCTGCTTTAGCAGCTTTTCCTGAATGCTTTCTTCCTGATGGTGCCATAACGAAATTTTCTTCCTATTAAGGCACAGTATTGAAACATAACTTTTCCCACAGTATTTTGAAGATAAATGTGTTTCTGTGTTTACCTTGAGCTGCTACATATTCCCCTGTAACCTGTAAGGATATCCAAGTAGTCATACAGGATTAGCCTTGACACTGTTTTTAAGAGCAAGGTAAAAAATAAGCAAAAATAGCAAGGATAATGGGATCATACTTCTTATGCTGAAAAGCAAGGAATGCTCTGAACAGACTGCTCATAAAGTCCCTGCCTGGTAATATTTTCAGATTTGATACCACCTTCCCAAAGAGCTGTGTTGATATTCTATCCTACAAAATACAGATATCATAAATGCTCAAGAAAAATTTATGACTCTACAGCCATTCCTTACTGAGCAGAAAAATAAATTTTAACATTGGTCAACGTTCACTGTCTGAATTATTTGTTTTTAGCCATTGCGTCTCTTTGTAAGTTTCTGATGCAGCTTCCATATTTGGGTTTTTACACATACACTTCCTTTAGTAACACTCATTTTTATATATTCCATGTGTTATTTTAGGAAGTAAAATGTCTACTTAGAAGGAAAGTATATTTGTTGCCATTAAATGCAAGAAGGAAAAAATAAGATGTTTTCCTTAGGACTTCAATAACTGAAATCATATACAAATGCAGCAGAAAATAGCAGGATACAGTGACCTCACTGAAATATTTTTTCTTTTAGCCTTATCTCATAGCAAAAGGCATGAAGCATTTCAAATTCAATGTTACGGGACATATAATTTTAAATAACCTACCAAAAATAGCACAAGATTACATAGTAGATGGAACCAATAGAGAAAACAAACAAAAAAACAAGCACAAAGTACTTGGTCTTCCAAGCTTTAGCAATGGAGAAATCTCTTTCTCAGTGCAGCTCAACAGCCAGACACAACAACAGGTTTTTCAAAGGCCATAGAAATATAGTTCTGAACATTAAGTTTACACAAAACTGAGAACTCCAGTAAAGATCTTCAGAATTTCCAGGGCAGGGAGATCCTCCAACAGCACCAGCTGTAGCACACACCTGAATTCCATAATTATATTTTGAACTAGCTGCTCATAGCTATAAAAACTTTTTTTTTTTAAGCCACATATCCCATATATACAGAAAACAATCACATTAAGCTGTTAAGTGAAAAACATTTTCTGACATCACAGCTTCTTCAGTGGTTGATGCTTCGCTATACAGCATGAACCCAAGGTGTTTAGAACTTAAAATTCTCTTGAAATTAAAATTTCACCTTTTGTTGCTAATTGGAAGATCACAAATTCTTGTGTTGTAATTATCCTCAAGTGAGTGAAAACTTATTGGCACTGCACAACTTCCAAGCCTCAATGACTTCAGCAGCTGCTGAGAACATGATGAAAGCAGGGCAGCAGCTTACATGCATCTCACACTGCACACAGGAATCTTTCTTTGTACTGAAAAACCAGCCTACAGAGCACTAGATGCAATAAGACAATGTTGCAGCCCCATATAATCATGATAAAGCTCCTTGCTTTAGTAGATTCCAACATTCCCAAGCCACAGATGTGTATTTAAAGACGACTTTTCAGAGGCACTCACCTCCTTATTTCTCTCTGCCTGCAAAGATCTGAAATAAAGCAGTATCTGTGAGTCCCACACGTGCGGGTCTGCTTCCCATTCACAGCCTCACAGCTGACGTGGTGCCCTGCCCCACCCAGCCACCCTTCAGCCTCGTCCCTCCGCCTGCTGACGGCCCACTCCACGCTCTCAGTGCCTACCTCCGACTCACTCCCCACAACAGGCGGTAAGGAACCTGCCCTGCCTCGCCCCGCAGCCCTCCCTGGCCTTGCCTGCCTGCTACTGAGCGCGGTCCTTCCGCTACCCCGTTAGCCAGAAAAAAAGCGGGAAAGACGGCAGACAGCGCAAGAGCGCATGCGCACGCTCGCAGCGGGTGGGGGCGCGCTCGCGTTTGTACCTCAGTTGCCATTGCCCGCCATTGGTTGCTAGCAGTGGCTTCCACTGTTTCTGCACGTTCCAGCGTATTAAGTAGCGGCAGCACAAAATATAACCCTAAATTAAAAGCGCATTTTACAGCGTCGGGAAGTTTGACTGTACTTTGAGTACCCATTCATGCATCAAATTAATATTAAAATTATTACTGTTGGGAAGTTTTAAGAAAATAAGTACCACAAGGATTTATAAGCATTAATGGCTATTTTATCAAAATGAGCGAGTTTCATTGTACTCCAAAACAGAAACAGACAAACCTTTCATCACATTTTAGTTGATTTCAAAGCAAACCAAGTATTTTACAATACATATGCACATACATTTTGTACACCCAATTACAAAAAAAAAAAAAAAAAAAAAAAGAAGAAGCATTCTTTGAATACTGCTAGTACAATGAAGATACACCACCAGAAAGTTCTGTCTGAAAAGTATCTTTTTCCCCCCACATAAAATCATACCAGTCTGATGTCTCAAACAAATACAGGGCTAAGTCCTGTGAAACTTAGAAAAAAAAACAACCACAAAGCTTCATTTGTCAGTATAAATATTGTTTTATGAAGTGAAACATTGCTCCCACACATTGCTACATTAAAGCAGTTCATTACCCATTCAGATAGAGAGGCACTTTTGTTGTCATATTTACAGTGCTTTTAAAACAATATAACTTAATCACTTTCACTTGATTACAACCCTCTCTTTGTAATCAAGATACAACACCCACTGTATTCTTTGGAATATAATAAATCAGACAAAACGTAAAGTAATTTTAAAATAACCATTACCTGTTCTGTTACCATGTATTCTTATTAGCATGCATTTCTTCGAAATCCCAATTAAATACTACAAATTGGGGGGAGTGAATTGTCACTGTGCTTTAAGGAATGCCAATGGCATTAAATGTAGACTAAGGGTAAATGACAAATTAAGTAATTCCCATAGGGCTGGAGGAAAAAAAAAGAAAGCAGTGACAGAATTCTGCAGAAATCTTTCGGAATGCAAGATCAAGGTTCTGTTAAGCTCATCCCAAACAACTCTGCCTTCCAACATTATATGTAGTTGGCAACATCCACTGCAATAAATGCAGCTACATTTCTTTAGGTAACCCTTTTTATAAAAAAGGATAGCATGGCCATGAACCAACATTTGTAAAGTAAGATCACTTGAAATTTGCCTATATACAGGCTCCTGCCATTTTTGTTTAGCTTTCTGTCACAGTTCAGCAGCTTGTATATCATAGAGTACTGCAGAGATTATAAATGTAGATGCATGATTTTTTTTTCTTCATATCAACTCAGTTAAATATCAAACCATAAAAGACACTTATGCGAGAGAGATTTTAAATGCTTATCACATCTTGAGGTAGTCTGATCTCCAAAATAAAGCTCTTCTACACTTTGATTCGTTCATGACCATCTTCCTTTTGGATCCTCCTTCTTGGAAAAATCTTTCGTTTAAGTGCGATTAGCTGAGAAGAAGAAAATACAGTATTTAGTTCCCTTCTAGGACAGAGGTACACAGCTGGTTAGTCTTTCATCCTAGAAACCATAGAATCTTTGTCATCCATGGTAATTCAGTCAATACTGTCTTTTTTTTTTTCCACTGCACAGGAAGAAAGAGTTATTTACTCAAATTCATCTGTTACACATACATATTTCTCAATAATCAGAATACAAGCAGAAAGTGAAAAACACAGTATACGTATATTCTGATTATTTGAAGTTAATTTACATAAACATAAGCAGGCTACATTCAGTTTCTAGAAGATGAACACAAAGCTGGTAGTATTTACATACCTAGCTGTCCTACTGAGTTGAATACTCCCTTCCAAAATAAAGTTACTAACGCAGGGTGAGTTTTCAATGTATACAGAAGGCTGAAAATTAAGGGAAAGATTCATGCAAAAGTTACAAGTGGAGGGAAAAAAAATTCAAAAGCCAACCTTTCAAGAATTACACCCTCTTCATCAGACCACGGAAAGGGTTACTTAAGGCCCCAACCTGCAAAGAATTACCCATGTGATTTGTTCCATTGTCTCCCTCTATGTATTGCAGGGTTAATATGTTCAAGAAAACCATTTTGTGCTTGCAGAATGGGAGGTTTTTTTTTTTCTCTTTGTGTCTGATTCAAAGTATGAGATTGGATTAGTCTCCTAAAATGCCTTAAGATCTTCCCAGGACTAGGGTATTGCTATTACTCAGGTTTTCTTCTTAGTAACTTTGCACTACAAACAATATGTTTCAATAGACCAAGACTTTCAGAAACAATTACTGATTTTGAATTCCCAAATTTAGCACATTCTGACGTACTTGATCGTCACAAGACACCTGAAAAGAGAACACAATTCTCCTTCCCCCCACAAGTGTAGTCATACTTACTCTAAGAATGCCAACATGACAGCTTAAAAGTTGAAGCAACCTAATCACCATTTGCATATCATTTTACTAATAAAAATTCTAGCTATTCTATTAAAAAATCCATCTTAAAGTACCCTGAAGGTACAAAAAAACGTATTAAACGTTATAGTTTTGATAAGATACAATTTTTACCTGTTCAGCAAAAAATGAGATGACTGTAAATACAATAAGTGTTACGAGAACACAGTGGGTCCAGAATTTCAGCTTGTCTCTATATGCCCTCCTGCAGAAAGATGGAAACAGAGTTTCATGTATTATAAATCAGATATAAACTTCAAAGGGTTACCATGAAACAGGAAAAGAAAATAAAATGTTTTTGTAATAACACAAGTTAATGGGTAAATAAGAAGCAAAATGCTTATTTACTGCTCATAGCTCAAGTTCTGCATATTTCTTTACTTTCCTTGCTTTCAACTTAATATTGAAACTACTGTTAATCTTCTTTAGTTACGTTGGTTCCTAAACCAAAAATGATTACCATACATGATAAAGGTAGAAAACTTATCTGAAAAACAGGATTTCTACCAGCACTTCAACATGCTTTCCACCATCCCAGCAGAAATTTGTTTCAACCACAAAAAGTAATAAGCTGCCTTCTGAAGCTAACAGTCCTGGTGGTGGTCCTCAAAAACAGAGCCAAGAATACTTCTAATACTCCAGCCAAAGTTTATACAGCTAACTGCTGAATTCAGTTTACCCTCCACTCCCTCTGCTACAACAGGACTTGTAGCACTACAGTGCACACCCAATTCTTGTCACCTACAGTACTTCTCATACTCTAATATTTTCTCCTTCCTCACAGGGAGATACTTCTCATAACTCATTGATCAGCAACAAAATTATTCTACTACTCTTCTTGTTTCATTTTTAATCGCTATACCTGATGACCTTTTGTTTATATTCCCAAATCAACTCACTCAATTTCTAAATTAAATATCGTTTGTAACATGGCACGGGGAAAGCACATTAAAATTTCACACATTAAATAAAAATATGAAAGATGCACGAGTATCTCCTCTGATAATCATTAAACAGCTTTAAATTATTTCTAACATCTTGAAAAAGTTACTTAGCAATAATAGCAGAATTTATATTACGTTTGTGCCATACACATTCTAAACAGTTCTGGATTTTTCACATTTAAAAAATCCACAATTCTTGATTTTTTTAATTAAAAAAAAAACACTTTGTTTTAAATGACTTGTGAACAATCAGTGAAGCATTAACAACTCAGAACAGGAAAATCCAAATCCTGCAAATCTGAAGTTTTAATCCATTTAAATATTTTCATGTCATCCTCACTGTTAACTCCTTCACAACAACACTGGGACAAAAAAGGGCTTGTACCAATATGCTCTATAATCATATACTAGTACACTGCAATAGCCTGAAAAGAATCTGTCTAACATACCATTCCTGGAGTTCATGCATATGAAGGAAACGATTCCGATATTCTCTTGGCAGTTCAAATTGGGAAGGAATAGGAAACATTGATTCATAAAAATCCCTAAGCACCGCTTTCACTGTCTGAGCATCCTTATGATTGTGATCAATGTTATCATTTAAGCAAACAAATTTTCTAGAAAAGAAAAATGCTTTGTTAGACTATTTCCTTTGATAATATGGCAAAGGTATTGGCAAGACAAGAACATAAACCTTTAAAACCAAATTGATATATTTGATACTGATAACTTCCTTATTGCTGCATTATTTTAAATTAACTTGATTGCAATTCAGAGTACATCGAGGCTAACAGTGATTCAGAAACTCTGAGGAGTCCATTGATGAGCTACAGCTCTCTCTCTTCTATTTATATTAATGTTGCCATCTAATGGGCACTAGTGTGCATCATCTCAAAGCCTAACACTAGATGTAGACAGCAGATTAGAAGGATTATTATCTCGATAATTCTTTCATAGTTTTAACATAGAGTTACCATGAGTTAGTTATCTTAAATAATAAATTTTACATCTATTATAGGATGTAAATATACTAAGTTATTAATATTTTACCATATATGCTACATTCTTCAGAGAAGCTCAACAAAAAAAAATTAGAAGACGTATAGGGAAAGGCAAAGATTGGTCCTCAGGCTTTCAGTTTTTGAGAAAACTATAAAAATGACTGTAACATGACCTGAATCAGAGAACCCAAACTTAGTTCACATAATCAGCCAAAATACAAACAATAGGAATAGTATTCATGTGGAAATCACTATGACCAAATAAACATGCTCCCAATAAAGTGTCTTACAGAGAGTTATTTCTCATAGAAGAAACACCCAAGCATCTACATTACTGAAAACTGCTGAAGTTAGAGCAGCAGCTAGTTTGCTAGGCTGCTATGTACCCTTGGCCATTCTGACCTGGTACTTGATGACAAAAATTCCCCTTTCCCCATATGGGCAAGGTTATGTGCTTTATTTATACTGTGAGGCACAAGACCTTACATTTTCCCCAGAGGGTAAAATTGTATCTGATGACTTTGCAATTGCTAATCTTTGTGAAGAAGTGGTTCTGGTCAGCTGCATTCTCTATAGCACAGTGTGCTCTTTCAAAGAGCAGAGTAAAGTTCAGGCTT